ATATATTTCTTTTCTTTCAAATTCAAATAGTGGATCAGCAACAATTCGTAAAGAAACAATTCTGGCAGTTCTTTAACCGCCAATTTTAAAAATAGAGGTTTTTACGCACTGTAACAATTTTTTTTCTTTTTTTTTTTTTTTTTTACAAACCGTCTGACTTGTATCTATATATATAAAATTCTGTGACTTCCGCTAGTTCGTCCGTCACACCCTCTAAAATAGTCATACATCGACTGATCGAAACCAAATTTTGGGAAAAAGTGCAAACAGGTAATTTGGTACAAAGTACAGTTGGTTTTACTAGGGTGTGTAGCTTAGTACAATAAATTTTCATTCATTTTTTGGAAAAAAAATTCCAGTTCTTAAAAAACTTTTCTTAAAAGAACGTGTAAAAAACAAAAGAGAACAACGTAAGCGATTAAACGTTTATTTATTAAACTTTTAACTAATGCTAACTTTATGAGTACATTTTTATAGAAATCAAGAAATTGAGGAACAAAATAGGAAAGTAATATTTAATTTGTTATAATACATAAATGTGGCACAAGGCCAAAAAGAGGGATAGAGGAAGTCTGGTCTTCAATCTATCTTATCTTGATTTAGCTTGTCACGATTACTGACCAAAATATATCACAGTATTCCTTACGCCTAAACAAAAAATTCTTACTTACCATTCTTACTACAGCGACTATATCTCAAAGAATATATAAAGTCCTAACTAGTTCCAATATGTCCATTTTGTCTGAGAGGCGGGGGAATGAAGACAATAACTTTAAAAAAATAAAACTTTAATGAATATTTACAAATGAATATTTATCTAAACGCCTGGCCTATGGGGAGAGAAAGGAGACTCACTCGGATATTCGCAAGAAGAAGATCAAACGAAGAATAATCCGAAACCATAGAAAGAGAGATACGGGTTCGAACCCGGGTGAAGGGCACATTGCCGTTATTAACATTTCTGTCGTAAAAAACACCGTTTAAGGTAAAAATAAAAATGGAGCGTCTATTTCAAATATACGTATCCACTATAATAATGTTTGAAGTAATATATATATATATATATATATATATATATATATATATATATATAGAGAGAGAGAGAGAGAGAGAGAGAGAGAGCCAATCCCTATTGAAGACGATCGCTCAGGCACATTTGTATTTTTTCAACACCCACAGAGCAGAGCCCACCTGTTGTTTATACTGCAACTATGCTGAGCAGTTCTTAGTCACAGTTTCTGGGAGAGAGCGTGTTTATCTAGCGTGATCAACAATTTGTTCAAGGCCAGCACACTCAAGCCCTCGGCCACGATGGCTTGCGGCTTTGTGCTAGCACAGCTACCGACGGCTCCCAAGTGTTCCGTCGACCCAATTTCACTCACAAGGTTTCGATCAAACCCGTGTTATGGCTTACGATAAAATAAGGAACAAATAGTAGATTTTACAAATTTAACATGTTTGGCTTTTATTAAGTTTTTCAGAAATTTTTATTTCTGATATATATATATATATATATATATATATATATATATATATATATATATATATATATATATGGTGGACCCTCCCGTCGTATTCGACGTATGAGGATCAAGTAGCTCACTTCCTAGGAACCGACAGCTAGACCCCAGCACATAAGATTTGATTATAGTTGTGAAAGCTTTGTGCAGAACCAACCACACTTTTTGAAGAGCCGAATACAGACATCTGGTGAATAAATTTATATACAATCAGGCCTTAAAAAATAGTGGTTTTAGACAAGAATTAAGCTTTAATGGTGAACTTGTAAATCAGAATAAGGGCAAAACTAAGAACAGGAAAAGGAAGGTAATATGGTTCTACCCACCATATTGCAGACTCTCTAACATTGATATAGGAAGTTTCTTTCTGAAATTAATTGATAAACATTTCCACAGTAAACATCCACTACGTAAAATTTTCAATAGGAAAACTCTAAAAAATTAGTTACTCATGCGTTAGAAATATAGAGAAAATCATATCTTCCCATAATTGCAGAATACTTAGAAACTACCACGGTAATGGAACTCAATCTAGTAACCCTACCTGCAATTGTAGGAATAAAGACCATTGTCCAATCGGGGGGTAAATGCAAATCTGAAAATGTAGTATACGAGGCAACTATCTTTCCTGAGGGAAATATAAACGAGAAAAAAAAAGATACATAGGTATATCCGCCGGTGATTGGAAGCAGCGTCTATACAACCATAGACGCTCATTTAGATATAGATGCCTCAGTAGACAGACTTCCTTATCCAAACACTACTGGGAACTGGTGGATACGGGATTAAACCCAATTTTGAAATGGAGATTCCTATCTAGAGCCAGAACACCTAATAACTTCCGCGATCGGTGTGATCTATGCATGGCGGAAAAAATCTTCATTATCAAAGATATAAATCGAGATGAGCTGCTGAATCTTCGGAATGAGATATTCTCTAAATGTAGACATAAGAAACGTTTCAAAACTTGAACACCGTTG